TGCATTTATATCTTTGTTTTTACAGTGTGGCTCTAAGGATCTGAGCCTGCAAGGTGGTGAGCACTGCCTACAAATGCTGAGTAGCCTCCATTTTAATAATGGGAATGAGAGTACTCATCACCTCTTAGAAGCATTCAGCACCTTGTAGGACCAGACCCAAAGTAGCCAGCCATGTAATCTGTGCAGTATTCAGCAGCAGTGTCTTTCAGATTAGATGTAACACTGTGGGCTTGATGATCATGCCCATTAAAAATCCTAGGGCGTTTTTGCAAAGTAGGTCGGTTGGTTAAGTTCCATGTTTGGGTATTATGTTCTGCCTACCTAAAACTATCCTCAGAATTTCATCAGGAGAAATTATTCTTTGTTCCCCCTGTTTCCATGTACCTGGGTGTACAATGCTTCTTAATTAGAATACTAGCACTTTACACCCACTTTGCCATGGTATAACTTATTACACAAGGTACAGGGCAGTGGAAAATCAGGTCCTAAATCTTGGACCTGATCTACAAGGCACTTAATGGACTGAGATCTGACTACCTCAAAGTCTGTCTTATCCTCCATATCCCAGACCAGACTTTTTTTTTATTTTTTTTTTGATCAACTGAACTAAAACCAACCATCTCTCTACACCTGTTTGGCTGTTTCATGTATTTCTTTTCTGGGTGTTTCTTTTATGAAAATGTAACTGTGATAAATTTGTGGAAGACTCGAAGAACAGAGAGTTGCAAACACACAGAGGGACAGACCCAAACTGCAAAGTGACATGGAGTAAGTAGAACAGTGGGGTCACATGGTAAGAAGATTCATTCCTAAAAATTATAAAGTCCTACCCGTAAGAGAGAGAAATTAAACAGTATGGAAATAAATGTTACAAACTGGGGGTATATTCACTGCATTAAAGTGAGTTTGTTTCCATCTTATCTCCTGAATAATGCCCTAACATGACTTTTTTGTGTAACCAAGAACAATAGTGTAGGCCAGCAATAGGAAGGAAATGGTCCATAGGAAGAGCTGTATCTTAAGATGCTGAGTAACATTTTAAAAATCACCCAAGTGACTTAGGCACACAAGTTCTATTTTTAAAAGTTACTTAGGCATTTAGGAGCCTAAATCCCATGAACATAGGTTCCTGGAGGTAAAATTGTCAAAGGTGCCTAAGTGATTTAAGAGCCTATCTTATTTTCATAAATGATTAGGCACGTAAGTCCCACTGACTTTCAATAAGTCTTAGGGTCCTCAGTGTCTGAGTAATTTTGGGAAAGGTACATAGGCTCCTAAATCACTTTGATTTTGAAAATTTTACCCATGGCTTTCAGATATGAAATTGTTTGAGAACTATTATCTTAGATTATTATACAACACAAAGTGAAAGAAAATATGATTAAAAACAAGATCATTCATCAGGCTAACAAAAACAAAGGGTTAATTATCTACAGATAATGGATTTACCAACCAAAGTTTTAATGTATATGCACAATCAAACATAAGAAAAAATACTTTATATATACATAGGAGAATTATACTAAAGAACTTTCATTAGTCTGAAAAATTATTACTCTTCCTTATCTATCCTATGACTGTAAAAAGTCTTTCCTACTGCCTCTCAACAGAGACTCATTTCAACACTTCAGTCTCTTCTATGATTTCAGGAATGTGAGAATAACCAACAGACTCCAGGCTGGAAAAAAGGTTATTCAGAGTTCCCAGCTTCTTCCTTTTTGTCCTCCACCAGGAAGTCAGAGCACTACCAGCTTAGTATCCAATTCTAAACTCTTGAGCCAGTGTAAATGTAGAAGCTCCCACCGGTCTCACAACTCCCTGACTAAACTCTCATCGGTTGGATCCCCCCAAGCAAAAGATGCTTTTGAACATGCATTGCTCAATTGCTTTAGGGAACACAATGTGGTCACCTCTTCAAATTCCAGGGCACTCTCTTACCTCATGACTATAGACGGAGCGTAAACCTGCAGTATTTACTGATGATGACTCTAGGGATATGGCCAAGGAAAATACAGTGATAAAGGAGGCAAGCAGTTCACTGGTAATGCTGTGAGCAGGGAAGGTTGTATGACTTTAGAGGCCTCTTCATGAGAAATAAGCTTGAGATCCCGCCCAGAACTCTTACTCATTACAAACAGCCCAGCACCTTGTGGGCTGTTTGTAATGCAGCTTTTACACCAACGAACTTTGTGATGCAACTACTAATCACACTGTGACACTGCACACGATATTCTTCATAGTGATATTATATAGTTAGCATAATTATGATGCATTTTATGCAAGATGGGTCATGTGAGATGTCATTGAAAAGGTTATGATTTGCTGAATATGATTATCCTATTTATATGCATGAATCATTTTGTAGCTGAAGTTATAAATACTATGTATCTGTACTTCAAATGTAGTTACACCTGGGTAATGCCCACTAGACAAGGTGCTTTCAGTCTAAATAGCTGGTTGTAAAGGGCCTATGCAGGGTAATGGGCCATTAGAAAGAACAATAGGCCTTAGAAGCTTATCTCTCACCTGGTGAGCATTCCTTAGAGTGATGGCTGCTATGACTCTATAAGGACATGTGACCAGGCCACATGCTGCTGGACTCCATCCTGGGATGTCAGTATTTTTCCACAGACTGGTCTGGGAACCAAGCTTTGGGAACAAAGGGCTCCTGCCATATGCAAAAGCTATATAAGGCAGGGAGTGACATCATCTGTGGTTCTTTACTCCCCATACAAGAAGACTCCTAGAAACACCTGAGGAACAAAGACTGAACTGGGGGAAGTGCTGGACCCAGGCTAAAGGGATTTATAGCCTGTGTATGAAACACCTGGGGACTCCAAGCTGTAAAGCAAGTGTAAAGCAAGTGCAGCCTGTGTATGAAACACCTGGGGATTCCAAATGGAAAAGCAAGTGCAGCCAGTTTATATCATCTCTTAGGGTTAGAATCTGCTATTCATATCCAATCTATCTAGTATATTTTGTTTATTTGCTACGTAATCTGCTTTGATCTGTTTGCTATCATTCATAGTCACTTATTAACTATAAATAATAGATTTTAATAGTTTTTGTTTTAATCTAAACCAGTAATCTTTGACTGGAGTGCTTGGGGAAAATCTCTGCTTGGTTAGCACAAGTGTGCATTGTTCTCTTCACATTGAGGGAGAGGCAGTCTGGGTATTAAACCCATATACTGGCCAGATTTGACCAGGGCAGACAGTACTGCTCTGAGGTCCCAGGCTGGGAAGCTGGTGATTAGAGAGCCTGCATGTAACTGCAGCTGGGTGTGTCCCTACCAGTGTGAATGGTGGTGAAACTGCAGGCTGGTGGGCTTTGCAACTTGTCACAGCAGTACAGTGTGAGAGAAAGCCCAGGCTGCTGGGTCAGGGGGCTCGGTGGTACCCCAGTTTCAGGTGGCACCCCAGGGAGGGAACCCATCACACAAACCACCACCCCAGCAAACTATATAATGCACTAAAGTAATTCTTGCCTTCAGCAGTGATAGGTGGATACAAAGCCAAAGCTTGCTGGAAAGGTGACCTGGTACTCATTTTGTATGAACTGTTAGACAATTCTCTCATAAATAGATATATATATTGAACCAATGTGTACAAAATGGAGTCCAATATTCTATGTATAATGGATCCCCTGAAAAACACTGGGGTTTGGAGCCGCTTGACTTTTGCTAGGATGCACAGTATGGGGTGCAGCCAAGGATATAGAGATCTGCACTTTAGTTGTGTATGGTATCTGTTCATCAGTTGTCTCTTTTTCAGGAGCAGGGGAGCTGGGAACATCTGCGCTGGCTGTTCAAAGGAACTCAGCAAGTGCAGGAAGGCAAGAATGAAATGCATTTATCATTAATGTTATATAAAATGATGTATTATCATCCCATCTATTCTCTTAACAAATATGCTAGTGTTCAGCAGTTACATCCATTTCACTTATAGACATCAGGTCAAAACTGAACATAGTAGCAGCAATCCTGGATATTTGGTTGGGTTTTTATTATGTTACACACGTGTATGTGTGTGTCTTATAAAACATATTTTATTTGTTACCATACCCATGTTTATAATAATTACTATATTTAATTTTCTGTTGCCTTCGGCCTTTCAGCTATACTGCTTTCCAAGTCTCCCTTTCCCCATGAAGATTTTATTAACCATCATTATTGCGGAAGTGCCTAGGGACCCACCAAAAACTGGGCCCCACTGTGCTAAGCACTGTACAAACACAGAGTAGTAGACAGTCCCTATGTTTTGGATAACTTTTCTCCACATCCTTGCATTTTCCCAAGTTGAGTCTCCTTTTATCTGCCCCACATGCTTCTCATCGCTGTCGTTCCCTTTTTGTATGATTTCACTATATTCACTGCCATTTAGACAGGTCTCCTATTTTACGACCAACTTCAAATGTAACTAAGACACGAATCTTTTTCTATTCTCCCCCCACTGGCAGATGAGGAAGAGAACTCTCTAGTCTACATGAGAACATTGCGCTGGTATAACTAAAGGCATATCTTTAAACTCTTATTTAAACTGCTGTAAAAAGGCTGTGTGAACACACTTACTTGGTTTTAAACCAAGCTTATTTCAGTGTTAGTGAGGAATTGGTATTAACTAAACTGAAAAAGATACTCTTCAACTGAAGGGGATTTGTTTGAACTAAACTGATTTAAAAACAGGTTCAAATTAAATCGGAGCGAATTTCTCATGTGAATTATGTGTCTGGACGTAATCGCCCACGCCAGAGTGCCCCTGCCCTGACGGACAGGATGCCAGCGCCCACTCGGCCAGCATCCCCATTTCCCGACCTTGGGTACCAAGTGCCCATCCCTGTCCTTGCCGGGGCGCCCCGCCATCCCACACGGGTCAGGCTACCTGCGGCCCAGCCGCTCCACACCGGCCTGCAGCCGTCCCCTCACCTAGTGACCCGTATCCCCCGCCCCGGAAGGGCTGACCCGGAAGCAGTTTGGCGGTCGAACCGGTCAAGATGGCGGCGCCCAGGTGGTGAAGGGAGAAGGAAGCGGGAGGAGCCGCGGCGGGCTATGAGCGCGGCCTGGCGCTGCGGCCCACCCCGGGCTCTCACAGGTAGCGACCGGGGGCAGCACCGCTACCCTGCGCCGTTCCGCACTCTTCACCCAGGGCGGGGGCTGCGGGCGGGCCAGGGAGCGAGCCGGGAGAGGTTTGCGGGGGGTGTGGAAGGGTCGCCGGAGCCCTGCGCCCACGGGGGGCTCGCAGCTGCCCGACCTTTTGTCAGGGGGGCGACGGCTGCCCCCGTCTGAGGAGACAACTCCCCCACCCTCATTGCCGGGGTCCGAGGGACCCATCACCCCTCAAGCGTCTCCCTTTTCCCCCTACGGTGCATGTCCCTGGGGCTGCGTTTGGGAGCCCTGGGACGGGAGGATGCCCCGGCCAGGGAAGTAGCTTGAGGGCAGTGGATTAGAGCAGTTTCTGGGAGGGGTTGGGCCTGGAGCCGGGTGTGTGTGTGTGTCATATTGGTGCTGTCTGTACTGGGTGCAAGGACTTTCTCTAGTTCTCCTACAGCAGGACTCGGAACTTCCCACCCTTAATGAACGTCTGTCCCCGTTGAACAGGGGGGTCTGGGCCATGAATTCCTGTAGAGTCTGATCTTTCGCTAAATAAATACAATTCTCAGAGTGGCAGAGAAAATCTTCTAGATGTGATCGGAGATGGATTCCTTTGGCTGAGTCTGCAGACAGACAACTCCTCCTCTGATCCCATTGCTGCCTTTAGCTGCAGCCTGACATTAGTAAGTTTCACTGCTGCTATTAGCAAATCTGTAAGCAACAGCAGGATTGTCAAGAATCCTGTCACTTTCATATTGACCTGAAAAGACATTGTGTTCACTTTTTCTAAATCCTTCCTGGAGATCTGCTTTTACATTTACAGGAAATATTGGGCTGATTGAGGACAGTTGGGCAAAGTTGATTTGTTTGTTTTTAAAAAACCAAAACAATAATGAAACCCTGAATAACATCATATGCTTATTACACAGTAACTACTTGTATGTTTTATCCTTTTCCCCTTCTGTTTATCATTTTGTCTTTTACATCTTGATCCTGCAAATACATATGTGTTTAATTTTATGCAGGTGAGTCCCATTGAGACTGCTCACCTGTGTAAAGTTATTCAGTTAAGTAAGTGTTTGCAGGATCAGGGTTTTGGATTATAAATATTTTGGGACCGGGATTCTGTCTATATAGGACAAGTACACTGGGATGTCAGTCCTGACTGAGGATTTTGAGTATTACTGCAGTACAAATAATAGCGAATACATAAACAGAGACTTCTTTCTCTGAGAACAGTGTTTGCCTATAGATTGCGCTGTAGATCAGGGTTCTCAAACTTTATTGCACTGCAACGCCCTTCTGACAACAAAAGTTACTACATGACCCCAGGAGAGGGGACCAAAGTCTGAGCCTGCCCAAGCTCAACTGCCCCAGGTGGGGGTCCAAAGCTAAAGCCTGAGCCCCACCATCCTGGGCGAGGAGGCCAAAGCTGAAGGCCAAGGGCTTCAGTCCCAGGCAGGGAGCCTTTAACCTGAGCCTTGCTGCCCAGGGCTGAAGCCCTCAGGTTTCAGTTTCGGCCCTGGGTGGTGGGGCTTGAGCTTCTGCTCTGGCCCTGGGCCCCAGCAAGTCTAAGACAGCCCTGGTGACCCCACTAAAATGGGGTCCCAACCCACTTTGGGGTCCTGACCCAGTTTGAGAACTGCTGCTATAGATTAACTCTACCACCTCAATCTCCTAAAATAACTATAGCTTATTTAGTGATATACATGTAGTTTTATTAAAAAGATTCTGAGGCTAGGTCTACACTCTTCTCTCTCTCTCTCTCTCTCCCCCCGCCCATCCCCTCTCCCCCGCCTCTCGGCGTTCTGGGGATTGATGCACCGGGGTTAATTTAGCGGGTCTAGTGAAAGCCTGCCAAATCGACTGCAGATCGCTCTCCAGTCGACACCGCTATTCTACCCCAAACGAGAAGAGTAAGGTAAGTCGACAGGAGAGTGTCTCCCATCGACCCAGTGTAGTGTGGACCCCATGGTAAGTCGACCTAAGCTACGTCGACTCCAGCTACATTATTCACATAGCTGGAGTAGCGTAGCTTAGGTCGACTTACCGTGGTAGTGTAGACATAGTCTGAGGCAAAAGGAAAAAAAAATTCTTGCCAATATTAGTGGGGGTACAATGGACAGTTTTAGCAACACATTATACAGAAACATTATTTAGCAAGTAGTTGTACTCTTATTATGGATTATGGCCTTGATGTTGATTCCTTCACTCAGAAATTATTGATATGGCAAAGATATTCACTAATGAGGCATAGTCTGGAAAAGGTGTGAATTTAGTTAAAACAAACAAGGCTTTGTCAACTGAATTGCCATGTGCAGTGGTTAAAGTAGTGGTGCAACAGAACATTCTTGATGAAAATTCAAATAAAGTACACCTATCTCCATCCTTTTCTCTTTCTTGCTCTCATGCAGTGACATGCTGTTGTGGTATTTGGCTTAAAAATTGCAAATAAGTATTTAAATCCTCCAACTATCAGTCTTTCTCCCTGGCCAGAAGAACAAACAAGCTATTTCTGACATTTTTGAATAACACTTATATAACATTTTTTTTTTTTTTGCCATGAAAACCTAGAAACTACTTACTTGAGTGTTCCTTTAAGAAAGCATCCTCATTATGTATAGAAAGTCAATGGGAAGTAATAAAAATGATTATGTAATTCTTTTCTCAGTAACTTGCACAACAATATGATGAATTCCTGTTAACGAAATCATGAGGTGGTATATTCCCCAGAACCTACAATTCTAGTAATTGGTCCATAGACTTGTTGTGTGTAGTTTTGGATATGTAAAACACACACACCAGATTCATAAACATTGTTAAAACTGAATTCTCCCTTTTATGGTGGTTTTAGATGACACACTTGACTAGCTCAGGTTTTTAAGATCAGTTGTAAAGATATGCACTAGGGCTGGCATAAAATTCCTGTTAATGTGACTGTTTAACTCTAGTGCTATTTTTATGTGAAGTACTTGCTCTAAGCAAATGTTCCAGCTTGTTGCTTATGTGTGTCTCGGTAAATACATTTATAGCATATGGAGGTGGGAATAGGGGAAAAAGTTATAAGACTAACTCGGTGAGGGGCTGGAAAGTAAAATACTCAGCTCCTCTATCTAGTCTGCAAGCTTAGTGTAGGCTCCCTCACCATTTCTACAAGCTCAGTAGGACCTGTGCGTAGCCCTCCTAAAGAATGCTGTGTGGTGCTGAGGACAGTAAGCATTGCAAATGGGTTTGTTTCTAATCCTTACTGTGAAGAAACGATATCCAAACATTCTCTGTTTTCTGTGTAGTTTTATTTGTCTGGCACCTTCCGAAACCAGCAGTACGGCAAATGCCATGCAAGTTTATGCATTGTTGTGGAGTAGCCAATAAAAGATGGATTACATTTCAACACCTTAACTTCCTCAAACGAATGGTAAGTCAAGAGAGTGTCTTATTCCACGTTGACTATTTTTCTGTTTTGCCTTATGCTACGTAGGAAATTAAAATGTTTACCAATTACAAGTGGTATATGGCACTCGTTTTCTGGAGTAGTGTGTTTCTTTTTAAAAGATTTATTCTGAAACTTAAACGTATTGATTTAATTCTGCCAAAGTTTTTGAGGGCAAAGTATAAAGTCAGGCTTGTTTCTTAAATGTTTATATTTGGAATAGAGTGAATGTGCAAAAGGAAAAGCAGAATTTTTAATTTATGTCCTAATTCATTGAGAGAAGTCTTGAATAGATTAAAGTAATAGGTTATTTTTTTCTGTAGTATGTAAATAGGCACTGCATTAGCTGTTCATATCACAAAGCTTTAACTGTCACTGACAGCTCAAGGAAATCCCTCTCCTCTTCACAGAACAGATGCATAATGGATAGTAGTGGTGCAAAATTCTCCTCACTGTCCCTTTTCATGTGCTGCAACCCTGACTTGCAAGGACCATCTCTAGTGCTTGGATGATAGTTCAGTTTTTATGTCTATTATGTGGTGTGTCTGCTGTGATTGCCATGAAAGGACCAGATACTTCCAATGTTGGTGGTATTTTTGGACATCTGTCTAATAGGGACCAGAGTGAGATCATAACTCATTCCACATGTGGGTCACCAAACTGTCAGACTTTTTATTGCTAGTGACTTGGCCTGCATTCAGGTTAGTCATTCAGAGGTGAAAAGCTCCCTACCAACCCCAGAAAGCCCCTTTAGTAATCTCTATTACTCAGTTGTACAAGTATTGCACCACAGATTGTTGAAACCTACACCTTGTTTGTATATTTGGCTTGGTATATTTGAAATAGAACATTTTAGACAAGAAAGTTGGGGGGTTGGAAAAACTAAGTGTTTTTTTTGTTTACAAAAAGGTTACCAATTTATTTGAGCACTTCGGAGCTCTCACTATCAGATGTTTACTGGAATGCAGCAGACTTTATATACACACAGAAATCATGAAACAATACCTCCTCCCACCCCACTGTCCTGCTGGTGGGGACAGTGGGGTGGGACCCCTTTTTTTTATCGACAAACCGGCGTCCCGCCTGTTTTTTGTTTACGTGACACTTTCTAGAGGAGCTGTAAATACAGCAAAAAACACAATAGAAAACTTAATTGCAGCTCAGCCTCTTTGTTGTCAGTTGGAAAAATGAAGCATCATGTGCAATAACACCCTTCTAGTCTTTGTCTTTCTATACTTTTCCTTTCAAATATTCTCTAAAATTGGCAGGTTTAAGTAAACTAAACTAAACTGAAATTAGGAATTGATGATGGAAAACTAAATTGAGGGAGATAATTTCTAGTGGGTAAGGGATTATCTTTTAGAGATCTTTCTCTGACTATTGAACCAGTTGACTGTATCTTACAAAGACCATAGGACACCTACCACTTCTAATAATTGGAGATTAATTGCACATCAGATTATATATACACGTGTCCATACGATACGTGTCCTCAATGTGCTTTAAAGTGGAGCAAATGTTTGTAGAACAAACAACAGTACCCAACAGATTAGAACAAGGAGTAGTAAAGAATATTTCCAGTTGAAACTGCAAGGGAAAATTTATTTAGGCCTGAAGTAATTCCCTGAATTTAAACTAATGTTGTTTGTGCAGCAATGAATTGGAAGCTGCTTTTGTTGTATATTGTGCAATTGCAGACACCCTTCTGTGAATGAAGTGAGCGCTTGAACTGCAGGCTAACTGAGCAATATCAGCACCATGAAATTCTCTTCTTTAATCATAAAAGAAATATAGCAGTAAAATGTAATAGTACTATTTATTTCTATTGTCATTAGCAAGCTATTGATAGGAAAAGCTTTTTAACTCTCCTGTTAAAAATATCTCAGATTAGTCTATATTTTTCTATTTAGTATGTAACACAGTACAACAAAGACCTCAGTCAGCAAGCAAAACCAAAGTCAGATCCAGTTGCACCTCCTTTCCTTCAGAAAAAACATTTGGGTCAAGAAAAAACAGTTATACGTGAGATCAGACCAGTTTCACCTCTCCACCCACCTTTGTCTGAGACTTCGAACAGAAATGAGTTCAAAGAAGTGAATTCAGCTGCAGTTGTAGAAGACTTGGCAACAGCTGTAGGAGCAGAATCCAAAGAAGAAAAACAATGGAAAGAAATGAAGCTACAACTGGATGATTTACCAGGAATTTTGGCACGTTTGTCCAAAATCAAACTTACAGGTACTATTGGTAACTTTTCAGTATCATGCAGGTTCTCTGATTCAGGGTTCTCAATCTTGTTAATAGTGTGGTCCACATTTTAAACAGAGGTTGGTCTCATGGACACCTTCCTTCCCAATCGTTATCCCACAGATCACTGCAATGTACCTATGTCATTTTTAGTTCCTTTTTAATCAAATTTTGCTGCTTGAAATAAGGAGCCAGCACCATGTGATGAACTAGCTGTCCATAGACCACAAGCAAATGTTCTGTGGACTACTAGCAGTTCTCAGACCACAGCTTGAGATACAGTTGGAACAGAAATTCTCAAACTACGGTCTACAAACTGCTAGTAGTCCATTGAGCACTTGCTTGTGGTCTATGGACAGCAAGTTTAACTTAAACTTAAATCTATCACCAGAAGAAGGCAAAATAAATTATAGTGATGGTATCTTTTTGTAATCAATATTTTCTGTATGAGCTATTTCAGTTTTTTATCTCATACTGATATGAACCATTCTGTATTTTAGGGGAAACACTTGTTAGGCTATGGTGGAATTTTACAATGGTTGTATTAAATATTTAAAAGAAAGCCCTATCTCTTCACGTCTTATCAGTGTTATGCTATCTGGTCTCCTTGTCTTTTAAGTTTAGCAGTGGTTCTTGTCAATCTCATGTTAAAAGCATTGAGGTAGTAATGTGGATACATTCCATAACTTATCTGGCAAAAGTTTTTAAGTGACATCAACTTAGTTTCCTAAAATAAAATGTTATTTCAAAAGTCAGTGAAACTCTACTCTTCGTTCTCCAAACCAGCAAAGGAAACAGCTTGTTAAATATCTGTTATCGTTATGTATCATTTTTGTTATCTTGGACACATTTGAGTAGCAATATTTTATTATTCTAATAGTAATGTATAGCATTTATAAAACACTTTTCAAACGTAGATCAAAGTGCTTTATCCCCTGTTTTATACAGGAGGAAACAAATGTTCAGAGTGAAGCGATTTGGCTAATGCCTCACAAGGATCTAAGAGTTCTTTACAAATATTAAATGACTACACAGCCTATTTGTAGCCCTCAGTTATGCTGCCCCTTTCACTACAGTGGTTGCTTTATTTTCTTGCTGCTCATTAGTAGTAATAGTTTGAGCTTCTATAATGCCTTCCGTGCATGGATCTTTAAACTCTGTAAGGATAGCTAAGTTTCCTGCTATCTCTTCAGTGAGATTATTTTAAGTGGCATCTCTTGAGAAGCTTGGGGCCCTACACTAGTAATTGAAATTGAAGGCAGTTAAAACTCTGAAATAGATCCAGAAACAAATATCAGGATATTAAAATGGCAAGACTAAATGACATCATATAAAAATAAATAAATAAAGGGGTGAAGTAGAGTGTTATGATCTATGCAGAGACCTAGTGTGACTGGTGCTTTCATGTATTTTCTAAACTGAAGAGAGCTGGGTCAAGGCTGTTGATCAGGCTGTTCTTTGATTCTTGAGAATGTAAATTATTCCAGGTCCGTTTTCATGTTACGGATGACATAGTGCCTCTGTGGAACTAATCTATGAAGTTCTGATTAGTTTAATATCTTGCATACTTTTTTTGCAAAGTTTCTATTTCTACTTTTTGGAGTATAAAATAACAAAAAAACAAATTTTGCATTATACTAAAAGGGACCTTCCCCATGCCTGATTTTCCCTACTGCTGAAGTAAAGAGTGTTTGTATTAAGAACTGCAAATCACCTTTGAAAGGAAATGAGTTTAGCTATTACTCTACCCTCCTGTTTCATGTGAACTTTAGCCTTGATGCCACTGTCATTAGGAACTATGCCTTCACAATGGTAAAAGATTTATATTTCTATATATATATAGTTTTTGCCATGAAAAATGATCGGGGAGGGAGCTTTTAATTATTTGTAGTGTAATCCACTTTTTTGATTTAGATTTCCTCTTTCCTTTTGTTGCTCATTCTCTGTTGGCTGATGTCTGAACAGCTGCATTTTACCATCCTGGCACTCTGCAAAGCTAATGCATCCATCTCCTGCTTTTTCTGAGCTACAAAAGAAAGTTGCAGATGGCATTGTTTTTAGTTTTGTCCCCCAATTCATAAGTAACTGAAAGGAGAAAAAGACATGAAGGCGGGGTAATAAGAGAAAACCCATATAATGTGTAACACAAGCGCAGCACTACGTTTTAAGCTGAATCTCATCTTTTTAAATTTTACCTCAAGGTTATATTTAATGAATAGTAACTCCGTGATTACAGATGGAAATTAACATGCATAGTAGTTACAAACATATTAGGCAAGAACATGAACAAACATTCAATTTTTAATTTTCATTTTTAGTGGTGTTCCCTCCCCTTCTCCGCCACCCCAATTAAAGGTACAGTGTGAGATGCACTATTAGCTCACTATTGTGTTACACGGGAACAAGTTCTAATTGTGAAAGTGGCTGGTGTACTGGCAAAAGGATGCCTAAACTCATTGTTCTTTTGGTGGGGAAGACAGGCCAAATGTTTATAATGAAATTTAACAAATACCTGCAAAATGGATATGTAAATAACAGTGATATGTGAAATTCACCAGTAATTCTCCAATCTAGATTGTAAGATGCTTGGGGCTTAGACTGTGTTCTTGACTGCAGATCTGTACTATGCCTAGCAGAATGAGGCCTTGATTCTTGACAGGTCCTTCATGGAGCTACCACAATACACATAATACAGTCTCCTTTAGAGTCTTAAAGAGAGGCACGTCAATACCCACATACTTCAAACTAATTTGCCTTCCTCATATGCTTTAAGCCTAGTATAGGTCTGATCTGCAGCTAAAATTTTCATCGGTCTCTTTACAAACATATCAGTGCATATGTCTGAGAAGTACTCTCCTGGGCAGAGTCACACACTGAGCTGATTATTGAGGTAGCTTTCAAAATGCGTTCTAGGCACTGTAGAAAGTTATCTGTCATGTCTTAAAGACTTAGTCTAGTCTAGTCTGCAAAATGCACCTACTCTGATGTCCATCTTGCTCACCCTGTCTCTTTCTTAAACGAATGTCTGAAATAGAATTTTGTAAAACTTATTTGGCACTTCAGAACTTTGTTGCACTGGGTTGGTCCTTTGCATGTTGGGCATTGGACTGGGAATTGGGAGACCTTGGTTCTGTCCCTGGCTCTGTAAGTAGGCTAAAATTTTGCTCACAAGTACACTAATGGAAAAGTCCATTTGCTTCAATGGAGTTTGTTTTTATGAAGTTCCAGTTGTATCTGAGAGCAGAATTTGGTCTTAACTGCATTAAGGCAAGAATTTAGGAGCTTTATCAAAGATAAATCAGTTGGCAATGTTTAGATTTTGTTGATCCTACATATATTTTGTGTAATGTCTGTCAGAAAATAGTTCTCATCTCTGTGATTCTTAAAACACTTACCATTGTCTTATCAAAGACACACAGCATAATAACCGTATCTTTTTAGCAAATTATTTTTCTGCTACAAGGAAGAGAAACAAATAAACTGCTACTTTAGTTTATCCCCCCTCCCCCGCAAGTGTTTTACAAATGTTCAGTTATAAAATGTAGTATTAACCTAATCTGCTCTAGTTCGTAATATTGTATTTTAATTTCTGCATTAAATGATAACATTTGGTTCAAATTACTGTTCCAAAATAGCCAAGCTCCTAAGGCATGTTTTTTCTTTTAATGTGCAAGTTGTAATTTGCAATAAAACCTACTTATGCCTACTCCAAATAAATCTAGGATTACAAAGAAAACACACTGGTCAGTCCTGCAGCATTAATGTTACTGTTACCTTTAGCATTCCAATGAATGAAGTGTGAGAATTTAGGGGGGGGGGGAATTTCTTCTGATAGATAAGCTGTAAAGAAAACTAGTTTTCCTTAGGGCTATATTAATATTTGTAGTAAGACAAGCAGATTGTTCCCCAAATTAAAGTAGAAATCCATTCTTTTTACCTTTTCTCCTCCTCCTCTCCTCTTCCCCCCCCCAATAGTGTCTGGTGCTAAATCTGCAAGTCTATATGTTTACAAAATTCCATATTATTTGGTGACCAAAACAAAAATAGAAAATTGATTGGTTAGCTGAATTGTTTTGGACCTTTTATTTTTATTATATATATATATATATATATATATTGTTTCAACTATTTTTTGGTGGAAGGTGAGCATAAAGCGGCACTAAGAATGTAGCACTATAAATACAGATATCAAGGTTTATAGAGAGAGATCACATTAAAATGAAATTGAAGAACAATGTAAAAATAATATAGGATTAGAGTTCCCTTGAGTATATTCTTATGTCTGAAACACCATAATAGGTCTCCTTCTTATCTTTCATTTCCTATGAGTGCACAGTTTGTTTCTTATTTAATCTGAAATTGTCTGTAAACAAATGCACTCTTCCGATTTCTAGTAAAGCTAGGTATATTTGTAAGACATAAAAACATGTCTACTTTGATATCCTATTGTAAGTTTCAATTGAGAATTACTCTTGAAAGACTCTTGCCAAGTCTAACCAATAAATCTTGAAAGGATCAGTTTCACCCATTATGTAGTGAAGTGTAGTTAATTTTGCCCCTAAAGCACTAAGCTAACAGGGGTCAAAAAACAAACATATAGAGTCAATGACCTCATGCCCTTGCCTGAAGTGATCTCTATGAAATGTACATCTTTTCAAGGAGGAAAATGAAGAGGAGATTATAAAATTCACTTTTGCCTTCATAACAAAAGGAAAATAAACTTCCCACTCTGATGGGAAGATAGCACTATTTGCTGTAACATGCTGCATTTGAAACTCTGTTCATGGGGCAGACAGCAAGAACTTTTCTTTGTGAGTTCAGAACACTGGACAAACATCTAAAAATATCCATTTCAGCTGGATAAATGAGGGAATGTACTATAGCCTTTTTTAATGAGATCCTGATAAGTCACAGTGAAATGACTGACTGAAATTAATCTGGAGAAATCAATGGAGACTTTAATTAGCACTCTGGCTGTACTGTATTAGAAT